TTACATGCATTATAAAAATCATCAAATATTAAATAACATTTAAATGCTAACCTCATCTTGCATTACAGGATCAGTCAGTTTAACATTTGACATCACAGTGGGTGCAATATACTTTATTGAAATATCATGATCACCTCCAATTGCTACATTGGCATCTTTCATTAAACCTAATAATCGACTAAAAAATAAAAAATTATTTATCAATTTCTACAGAAATTCTTAAATGCATTTACCTTTGAGTAAGTTAAATAAAACTTCTTGTTTTTGTCATTGAATTTAGTAGTCGTTAAATCGAATAAATAAAAAAAAAAAAAACACTCTTTAACTTTCACATTTTTTTTTATTTTGCAGAAAAATAAGTTAAAATGTATTTCACTGTTGATTTACTTTTCACAAGGATATTTAATTGAAAATATTAGGGGTAATTTTAATTGCATTTTGATGGTCCTACATATTATTTTATAAGTTAAAATGCTTTTTTTAAAAGTTATATTGTTTTATATAAATTATTAGATGCTTAATTCATTTGTCCATTTTCAAACACCAGCTTAATTTAATGAAATCACAAGTTATTGATAAAAATACACATAAATAAAAAAATGCAATTAAACTTTTTTAGTATATTAAAATTGTAAATTTTCTAAAAAAATTTCTAAATTTGTGTTAACTTTCAGAGAATTTGTACAAAACTTTCTCGAAAAAATTCCTTTTTTCTTTTATACTTTACTGCATTACCATCCAAACTCAAAAGTTTTTCCTGCCGTAATATTCTGAGAAAGAGCAAGAATATCAACTTATTTGTAATAATATTTATGATTGAATGTTTTTCTTATTATTACTCTAAACTCATTCCAATAATATAAAGGAATAAAGGGAAATACATATACTGTTACATTAAACACATGGAAATGACACACTAAGAATTATAGGCTATTTCAATTACTTTTTATTATTTTATTCTAATATTGTTTCATGGGCAGCATATGAATACAGTGTTCTCCCTAAGCATTTTCAGATAGGCGGGCTACCTACCTGCCTCTTGATCCCTATAAATGTGCCCTCTTTGCGCTTTTTGTAAAAAAAAAAAAGGCATCATCCCTTAAAAACACTGTCATTTTATTCATACTCCATTTTAACAATATTTATTTCACTGTTTAAATAATAATTACGCATTGATAAAATTATTTGTGTTTATAGGTTTAATTCTGATGACTATTGCAAATATTAACTTTGCTAAGATTATCCTCAACTCGTTTAATTTTTATAAGTATCTTTTTTTTCGGGCTTGGTATATTAATAAATTTTAAGTGATTTTGAAATTTATTTTTTTAAATTAAATACCTCTTTTCTTTTTTAAAAAAATTCACCTTTAAATGTTTATTTTCCTTTAATTTACAGTTTAAGTTATAGAAAAAAGCTTTCAAGATGTATATCAATTAATCATTTTTCTAGTATACTTTTTTTGAAATAAACACATAAAATAGTATAGGAAGGAAATTTAAAAATTGTCTAAAGTATAAAAACTGAGTTATATTATATATTTTGATCAATTTTTATGCTGCTAAGTGATTGCCGTATCCCTTTTTTGTGAGAAAGCACCCAATCCTTTAAAATTCCTAGGGAGAACTCTGATAAATAATGCACAATAGCAATTTTGAAAGGTAACTATAATATCTTCTCCTTTTTGTTTATGTATATTTTATAACAGTAATTTATTAATATAACAGTATTCATGTTAAATCAGTTAAAAAAAACTTAAGCTCTTATTCCAAAAGTGACAGATTTAAGTTAATGATTTGGTACAAAATTAAAAAATAAACAACAAATATGTGTAACTTACTTGAAATGTCTTTCATTCAGTATTCGTCCAAGATCAGGAGAATTTTTGGGATTTTCACCAAAATATTCTTTCAAGACTTTTTTCATGGCAGGTATTAGCTTCTCAAGAGTATCTTTTGTACATAACACGAAATCAGGGGCAACACACGTTTGACCTGCATTAATAAATTTACCCCACAAAAGTCTCCTACATGCTACATCAAAGTTTACTGTACTGTCAAAATAGACAGGGCTGAAAAATATAAAATACATAATTAATATTTTTCTTAAAAAAGATTTTGGTAACACAGTTGATGAATTGAAATATAAAATGCTAAAGAAATTGAGTCAATGGTTTTAATAAGATTTATAAACACATAGTTCGCCCCTCTCTTAATTCTGCCAAAAAGTATGCATCAACATTAATTCATATATTATATATATGTGTGTATAAATAAGTACACAGAACTCAAACTATAAGATAACAAAAAGGGAACAACAAGAAAAACAATTATTTAAAAGAATCATTGAAAATTAAAAGAAATTAGGATATTTTGAAAAATTAGCAACCAAAAGACATAATCACTTCAGCTCACATGATTATATCCATAAAAATTGGTGTCTTCTGATCATATATTAATATAGCCAAAGCAAAATAAATCAATACAATGGTGTGAGGTGAACCAAAAATATTAAACTGATTCCTTAACATAATGTAATTTATTGAAAACAATAGAAGAATAAAACACACACAAAAAATTAATTAAACAAATGAAGAACGTATAAAGGGAGGAGAGAGAAAGATGATCTAAACTTATGCTTACAAACTCTCTCTACTAGAAGAAATAATTTATAATAGATTTACAACTATGCTGTTATAATAGATTTATAACTATGCCGGATTTGTACAAGTTGTTCGTTAATGTCAATACAGAACATCTTTCTCCTTCCTAATTTAATATGTTCTTCATTTATTCCTTTTCACTTGATCATCATGGTTTTCACTTGATTAAATTTTGTTAAGAAACCATTTTTTTTTTTTTTTTGGCGTTCCTTATACTATTGTATTGATATAATTTGCTTTGGTTACATTAATGCAATATCAGAAGGCTCTAATTATTGTGAATATAATCTAGTGAACTGATTATATCCTTCTGTTGTCAATTTTTCAAAATTTCCATTTTCGTTTTATAATTTAATATATATTTTTTAATAATAATCATTTTAAATAATTTCTCAACCTTTTTTTCGTGTTTTCTTTGTGTTACTATCACGCACCTATATATATATACACACACACACATATATATAGACATACAGAGATGCCAATTAGCTCCGGAAAGGGGATAAACATTTTTGAGTGTTAGTCTTTTTATGTATGATTCTTGGATTAGTAAGTTCGGTTTATAGGGTTTTTACTCACCGCTACTTCTAAACAACTCAAAAGCTTATTTGATAGACCACTCTGTTGCAGTTAAGTCATGCTAAGTCTTTTAAAAGTCGGCAAAATTAACCAGAAATCTGCAAATTTTAGTTTGCAGTTCTCCACTATTTTTTAAAAATATTTCGTTAACCAGGAGCAGCTGGCATCTGTGTGTGTATATATATGTTCACAAAAATTAAAACTTTCTAGGAACCAAGATCAATTTTTAGAAGCCAGCAGCATTAAAATGTTATTCAAATATTTAGATTCAGACAAGAGTTAGGTTAAATTTTGGTAAAATATTGAGTGCCAGTTACAATTTTTAAGGTGCTATTGCAACCAGGCATCTACAATATATAGACTCCTACACATTTAACACAGTTTAAATGTTTCTTGGTAACTTAAATCAATCATTTTTTTACAAATCAAGTGATTTAATGCATATTATACATTATAATGAAAAGTTGGAATAAAATAAAGTAATATTTTTCCTTGTCTTACCTTTTACCACCAAGTTCTAATGTGCAAGGAGTGAGATGCTTGTTTGCTGCTTCTCTGACAATTTGGCCAACACGTGTTGAGCCAGTATAAAATACATAATCAAATTCGTTTTTCATTAATTCAGCTGTTTCTTCAGGTCCTCCATTAACTACATGATAACATTCCTAAAATTATTTTAAAAGTAACTTTTCTAATACACCTACCAAAATATTTTTGAACACATGATATGAAATTTAAAAATTATACAAGGATTAAGAAAATCATCTTTAATTTTATATATTTTCTTGTCAATCACCACAGAATCCAACTTAACAATTTTAATGAAAATAGTTTATTATATTGATATAACAAATTAAACTATACCACACAAAAATTGAGCTTAAGAAAAAGCAAAAAATAATTAAAATATATATATATGTCTTTTTTTGTATTTATTTCAAAAATGTGGCTCAAAATTATTTTAACAAAATTTATTTTACTTTTAACAGAAATTGTAAAAGTAATAAAAAATGAACATTTTTAGAAATAACTATATTTATTAAAGAAAACTTTAGGATAATATAACATATTATATTAATTTACATAGTAACAAAAGCAGTTTTTTTTTCAAAATAAAATACACATAATTTTGTTAGCTTCGCATTAGTTGTAAAACTTTAAAACTGTTTTAAAGTTTAAAATTAAATTTTTCCAGACAGGAAGAATTACAGATGCACTAGCAAGAATGAAAGTAAATAAATAATCTTCAAATAAAAACAATTTTTTTAAAAATTATAATGATATTGTAATAAATAGAAAAATTTACAAATATAAAGTATCAAAAGTGTAAATTTTGCTGGTTGTCAAATTATTCAATAACCTCAAACCTTAATATCAGGTGTTTTAAAACAATAACAAAAGTGAATGATTTAAGAAAAACAAACAAATAAATAACTTCACACATATTTGGCATTAAATTCATTTAACTAAAATCATAATTAAAAAAGTAACGCTATAAAATGTAACAAGCATAGATAAATTCTAGAAAAGTTCATATAAATAGAGGATTATTCCATTAATAAATCTAAATGCATTGCTAAGAAAAATATACAATTAAACTTACATTATCTAAATATTTTGGTATGAGAGTTTCTAGAATTTCAGCCGTTTTGGGTGCCAATTCAGATGGTTTTAGGATAACACAATTTCCAGCAGTGATGGCACCAATCATAGGACTTAATGATAGTTGAATGGGGTAGTTCCAAGCACCAAGAACTAACACAACACCAAATGGCTCAGGTTGCACAAAAGTTTCATCCAAAAGAGTGATAAGATTTTTATCTGTCTGTAAATATATAAATCATATTATAAATCATCTTTCTTGTTCTTTAAAGGTTTACATGGCAGATAAATTTGCATAAAATGCAAAAATCATTAAAAAAAATTCTTAATTCTACGTGCTTAATATTAGGAAGATAGAATTATAAATCTTTTAACTCTCATTTTAAAAGACTTAGTTGCAGACAGTGGTCAGAAAAACTACATCATTTTTTTTAGCTAACTACTACTATACTTTTTTTAAAATGTAGTGACTACAAACTACTTTGGAATTGCAGTAACTACTTCAATACTTTAAGGTGACGAACTTTGCTGGAGTGAGTAATTTACATCTATATTCAAAACGGTTTTGAATAAGAAATTGGCTAACATTAAGATTAAATATAAGGGTATAATTAAGAAATATTTATTCATGTTTACATGAGCTAGTTTGTTATTCCAAAACCTTTTTTTAAAAATTTGTTCATTTAAATTTTAACTTATTGCCTTTTTCGACAGATAATATTTAATTTAATTAATTTTTTAATTAATATTAATTTTTTTGGTTAATGCTCTTTTATTTCCTTTAAGAAATTAAGGACATCAAAAATCAATTCGATTCTTTTAAAGAAGATTTGAACCCATCAAATTTGAAAAATTAGTTGTATTATAATTATGAAAGCTAAAAAATGAAACACATTATAAAATTGTTTTATAAAGGTTTCAGCAAAAGGCAAATTCAATGATAAATAAAATATTGTTAAATCATAAAGTACAAGGTTTAAAATCAAATAAAATTCAAGCTTAAAAAAAAGTCAATTAAAAATTTTTTTTTAAATTACATAAAAAAATTTATTAATTTTATTTTTCAAAATATCAATTATTTCAAACATTTTTAATTTATAAAATATTTTCAATAAAACAGAGTAAGACATCAAAATGTTTATTTGTTCATAAATAGGATAATGAATATAAAAATAAATATTACTTAGTTTATAAGTAAGTTATTATTATTTTAATATAATTTAAGTTAAAAAAGGTAGCATTGATAATACAAAACTCCTTTCACACAAAAAAACTGGTTTCAACGCTGTTTTAGAAAATGTTGGAGCATTGCAGAATTCTAACAGAGTTGATAAAATATTCATTTACAAGTCACAACTCTGAACACCCTTTTTATCCATAATTAGAGTGGCTGTCGTTAATTGCTGCCCTTTTTTTGGTAAAATTTTAGTTATTTATAGTTCCTGTTTTTATTATTAAATGCTTTCTATTGACCAATTGTAATATTGAAATATTATGATAGTTAAGTGTTTCTTGAACAGAAACATCAAAATTTATTGTATTGGTACAGAAAATAAATAATATGTTGACAGAGAAGGAAAAATTATTTTTTCATTTCTAATAAGAAAGATATATTTATCTTTCTTCAATTGTACAAGAGTGTGAATGTTTAGTCTCTCTATCTAATGAATGTCTATATGCTTATTTACGTTTTACTTTAATCTTCACCTTATTTTATTGCAGCACTATCCATTTATAAAATATATATTCAAAATTTTAAATCAATCGAAAATAAGACAAGATCACTTCAAAATACATTTTCAGAAGTAAGCACATAGAAGTTGACAAGTACCTCCAACCATATAAGAGAATAGCATTGTAAAAAGGAAATTGCCTTGCTTATCTGCATAGAAAGCAGTTTGTAATAGCTCGAGCAATCAAAGTTGGTTTCATACTATTGCGTACGTGTAAATGATGAAAACCGGTTTGAAACTGGTTGTGGACGCTACAAAAACTTTCAATAATAAAAATTGCTCAGATATGCTTTCAAAAGCAGTAATATTTGTTGCTTATTTTGAGCACTCAGATTTTGAGGAAATAAAAATATACATATTGCTATTATAAAAGGAAAATATTTTTATTAATATACTTCCTAAAAACAGGGAAATTCTCTTAATTTTACTTAAAGCTAAAATATTGTACATCAAAACTAAACATTTGCATGTAATAATTAAAATAAAAATTAGCATTATACTTCTAATGAATTAAGTAAGCAAACTTACGGGTAAAGGTTTCACCCATTTCTTTATGTTGTGTTGCATGCATCTAATGTCATTTAACAAAAATTCAACTTCATATATAATGGCTTCCTGACGAGGCTGTTGAATAGAAAATATTATTTACATTAAAACTAATAGTAAAAATGAGCATCACTAACAATTTAATGTCATAATATAGATATTATTTTTCAATGATTTTAGCAGTCAGAACTTAACAGATTTAAGACTAAACTCAGGGGTGTGACAGCCTATAAAGGGCTAAGGTCAACTGTACACATTCCAGTTTTTTTTACCTTTGGCTAGAAGGTGCTGGAGAAGATATTTTGTAATGGTGATTATCTGAACCCCCAGTGCTTAGTCCCCAAGCATGTTTGGTACTAATTTTATTGACCCATTGAAGGAATGAAAGGCTGAGTCAACCTTGCCTGGTCCAAAGACAGAGCTCCAAACTTATGCCATGGGTGCTTGAGGCACTACCCTCAGACAATGGGTCTCAAAAATCATTGATGTAAATCAATTGTGATTTAAAAAAAAAAAAAATCATTGCTTTAAACCAATAGATTTTTTTTAACTAAGTCATTAAGTTGAAAATATTTTTATAAATACATTCTTTAGAATTGCATTCTTGCTTAGGTCAAATTTCATTGATAATGAAGCCTGAATCAAATCATTGATAAATCACACTTATTTCATTCTAAAGAAAGTCAATTATTATATTTTTAAATTGTAAATTAGGGGTGTACAACCTGTGGCCCTTGGGCCATATGCGGCCTGTTGGCAGTGTAGCCCCGGGAACTTCTAAATGTAATAAAAACATTTCTTTTAATTTGGTTTTTGCTCAAACATTGTAAATTTTCTTTAATTAAAATATTTAATTCAAATTTATATTAATACAGTAGAAGTCCATTAGTCCGGCATCCAACAGTCCGGAATGCCCGATAGTCTGGCATCGCTCCAGAAAATTTAAATTTTTTTGTTTTTCTCCAAAAGTGTGTCTTTAAAGCAAATAAAAACGCTTGAGAGCCATTCGGAAGTTTTCGGGGTAGTTTGGGATCATCCGGAAGCGCTCGGTATTGTTGGGAAACAACAGGCGCAGTGCAGCTCCGTTAATCAATCACGAACCATCTTCGCCATTTTTTTGTGCGTTGTTGTTTTGTGTCCTTTCACATCGCAGTAAACGTAACTTTTGAAACTGTTTATAAAAAAAGTGATTTTCGTTCTAACTGTACAGTGACCATGTTTTCAAAACCTAAGCCTTCGAGTTCAAAAGGAGAGAAATAAAAACACGTAACACTGACTCTCAATCAGAATCTAGAAATCATGAAACGGCTAGAAAAAGGCAAGAATAGAAATGTTTTAATGAATGAGTTTAATATTGGCTCATCAACTATTTATAACATTAAAAAATAAAAAGATGAACTAATGAAGTTTGCTTCTCAATCGGTAACAACTGAAAAATTGGATTCTAGACAAACATTAAAAAAAAAAAAAAACTGGAACAGCTAGATAGTGTATTGTTCAAATGGTTTAGTGTAGTACGTTCTGAAGGAAAGCCTGTAACAGGGCCAATGATTGTTGAAAAGGCAAAGAAATTCAACCAAGATTTAGGAGTTGCTGAAAGTGAATGTAATTATTCTGATGGTTGGATCAGAAACTTTGAGTTTCGGCATGGAATTCGAATACTTGATGTAACTAGAGAAACACTTTCAGCAAATCAAAACTCTGCAAAAAAATACAAAGACGAGTTAGAGAAAATCGTGGCTGATAATGATTTAACACCTAAACAGATTTACAATGCTGATGAAACAGGGCTATTGTGGCGATGTTTACGAACATCTACACTAGCTGGGGGAGGAGAAAAAGCAGCCAAGGGTTTTAAAAAAAACAAGGACAGATTAACCGTTTTGCTATGTGCTAATGCATCTGGAAACCACCGAGTGACCCCTTTTGTGATAGGTAAATCTGCAAAACCCAGGGCTCTTAAGAATGTTACACACTTGTCTGTCCAATACGATGCTCAATCAAATGCGTGGATGACTGCCGCCCTTTTTAAAGACTGGTTTTTTCACCACTTTGTGTCTGAGGTCAAGGAATCCTTCAAAAGCCTTGGTCTACCAGAGGATACTAAAGCCATCCTTCTTTTGGACAGTTGCAAAGCCCACCTGCCAGTAGATGAGTTAGTTTCTGGAAATATTGTTGCTACTCTGCTCCCACCTAACGTAACATCTTTGATTCAACCCATGGACCAAGGGGTTATTCAAAATTTTAAAAGCTTTTATAGAAGGTCTTTTATTCAAGGCCTGTTAAATGCCGACTGTGACGTGACTGATTTTCAAAAAAAGTTTACAGTAAAAGATGCCGTCTATGCTATTACACTGTCTTGGAACCAGGTAAAAAATACAACACTCCAAAAATGCAGGAGAAAACTTTGGCCAGCTTCAAGCCCTGGATCTGACCTAACTCTACAGACTGATGAGGAAGAAAACCATCAAGACGCTCTGACCAAAGTTTTGGATGTCGTTAGAAGTGCTGACAATCCCTTGAAAACCCTGCCTGAAGATGAGGTATAGGAGTGGCTTCTAATCGACGAGAAGAGCCTGTTGAACAAGAACTAACCGATGAGGACATTATCAGCATTGTAGTGAACACTCAGCCTACTCAAAATCTTGAAGAAAGTGACTCAGATGCCGAAACGGAAGAAAAGGAAAAAATCAGCTGGGCAGAAGCTGCAGAATCACTATCTCTTTTGTTGAGGCTAGTACTAGCTACAGTGCTTCAGAAATTATTGATTTCCATATCATTAGAAATAAATTTTATACTAAAAGCCAAAAGTCAAGAAAACAAAGAGACATCGTGAGTTTTTTAAATCTAAGTGAAATATGTTTTACAGTATGTGTACATACATTATATGTTCTTATAATTACCGCCCGATAGACCGGAATTTTCAGTAGTCCAGCACCGAGCCGGTTTCGAACGTGCTGGATTATCGGACTTCTACTGTATATAAAATGTGTATACTTTTAAAATTTCATTCTGTAAGCTTTTTTTTGGTTAGAATTTATATCCCCTCCAATATTTTTTATTTATTATTTTTTTTTAATGGAGGGCACTTGGAACTATTGTCCATTGGTCACAGAAAGTGCCAGAACTGCTAACTCTCTTTTCGTTACACAGTGGGCACCCGTGTCGAAGCCACGGCGGTGGAGCAGCGTCGCCCACGTCACACTACCACATCCCGTTTATAGGGCGGGTCACATTCACACATAAATGAGAAAGGACATAGAACACAGATAGAGAGAAAGAAACATCCATGCCTTGCCCAGGATTCGAACCCAGAACCTTTCTGATGCAAGGACAGTTCCCTGCCCCCTACACAGGCCGGTCGGCATCCCCTCCAATATTTATGTATATATATATTTGATAAATTAATTATTGTGAAAAATGGAAAAAGATTTTTTTTTTAAATAAGAATTTGTTGTTTTTGTTTTAAATAAATTCAAATAATTAAAAGTATTTCATTTTCTGAAAATATGTTATTAAGTTTACTAATAAAAATATTTAGTGCTTACAACACTAATGTTTACATTAAAATTAGCATATTTGTTGCCAACATGACTAAATATGCCAGCGGCCCTTCGTTAATCTAACTGCTGAGCGAGCGGCCCCTCATTCAAAAAGGTTGTGCACCCCTAATGTAAATTATTATATTTTAAATTGTAAACTATTAGATTAAAAAACAGATAAAATTAGAGACCGTAAGTGGATAACAGTAACATTAAACTGTTAAATTATAATTTTCCATTAGCTGTAAATAAAATAATCTGCTAGCAATAAACATATTTCAACTATACACAGTTTTATGTTATGCTGTTAAAATATATTAAGTAGTTAGTGTTTAGCAATATCGAAAAAAGGCTTGTTCTGCTAAAAGAATTTCATTATTCTTAATGTATTTTTATCTAAACTAATTTACTCTTCATTGGATATCTAACTAACAAATTTCCTCCCTGTCTTTTATACTTTAGGATGCTTAATTTGAACAAATATAATTGTAATTTTATTTATTAAGTGATTCGTTTCGAGTAATTAAGCAATTTTAATTAGAAATATCTTTTATTTTAGACATAGTATTGTTTTTAAATAATATTCAGTACTTTTAATATATTTTCGAAGATGATTTTGCTGGTAAATATTAAAAAAAAATCTGATTTAACTTTAAAAAAATCATGAATTCTACCAACCCTGATTCTAACTAATTATTATTCATAATAAGCAATTGATTTTAACAAATAATAAATAGTTATGATTATTTAGATTAATTTTCTTAGATAAACAGTCTGTATATCAAATGGGTTTGTCATGAAATCAAGTAATATGATTCGCATTTGAATACTAGAAATATTTTAGGACAAAGGCAATTTTTTCTTTTAGTCAAATAAAGGTAAATGATCAACAAAATAAAAGCTGTTACTTTTCAGAAATATACAAGAATGATTAATTAAATTTCATGTATTGAAAATGACACATCCTTGTCTTGGGTACAAACATAATATATTCATTAACAAATAATGTAATTCAACACACAAATTAACCTGGTTAAGAAATGTCTAATTAAAATGAACTAAAACTCTTTACATACAACTAAACATATTGACAAATTATTGACTTGAAATTGCAAGCAACAGAATTGAATATGATGAAATATATTTTTTAATAAGACAATGAACACCATAATTTTAAAGCTCAAAAAAAAAGAAATTCCAAGGTTAGAAAAATTCAATTTTCGTACTGGTACCTAAAATTTTGTAAAAATACAAACTCAGATGGAGTGGAAAATATAAATGATTTAAAACCTTTCCCAAGTCGTGTGCAAGAGCAGCTGCAATCGGCTTTTCATTTTCTTCTAACATTCTGTACATGTTTTTCAACTGTTGAATACGAAAAGCAACATTTTTAGTAACTCCACCTTTAAATGCATTTCGTGCCCGCGTTAAAACCTGAAAGATAAAATAGATTAAACAAAAATGAGTTCGAATACTTTTTTTGTTAATAGAAGATTTAGTAAATGAGGAGTACGAATGTGTTAATAAAGCAGAATGTGATTATTAAACCAAAAACGTGAAGAAAAATAAGCACATCACATTTGGAAATCATTATAAAAATTTATAAAAAAAAAGTATATATTTATAGTTAAAAATATTACAATTATCATATTTATTATTAAAAATTCCTACAATTTTCAATAAATAAAAACCGTACATTCTACAATCAAAATCTATAAGTAGTTCATAGCATTTTTCATGAATATAATCAAAATTATATAAGAATATTATGCTCAAACATGTAAGCTTACCTTTATATATTCAGCACTGGCCATTTTACTTTAATACTGGAGGACCAACTGATCTGGAAAAGAAATAAATAAAATAGTGAATAAAAGGTAACAAATTAGTAGTTGAATTCATGAAGAATACAAAATATTTTTATACAAGGTGCTCAGACAAATGTTGCATCCTATTAATTTTTTACCAAATTTCAACATCACATTAGAGATTACAAATTATGTAACTTATGTAAAAATAAAATAGTAATATACACCAATGCAATTTTTTATTAGAACGTAAACAGTATTTTAGTTTGAAAATATTTTTCTGGTTTAAGCATTAACATAAAATAACATAACATAAGCATTAACATAAAATAATATTAATGCTTGAACAAACAAATAAAAAATTTTAAAAAATTAATTATTTTAATCATTAAGAAATATAAAATTAATCACAAGTTAGCAATTTACTCATTAAATTAATTAATAAGTCTAAATTAAATAAAATCAATTAAACACAAAGAATTATCTATTAGAGTTGTTTTTTTTTGTTCAAGGAATTAAAAAGTTAACATAGAATACTTTTTAAAACTTTGAATTACGAAATAATAGAGACAAAATTCTTTCAAAAATGAATTACAAATACACTAGAACTTAATATTAAATGCACAATAATAAAACTTCCTAGGTTTTTTATTTATTTATATAAATTTATGAATGATAGAGCAATAAAAAAATTAAAAAACGCATGATATAAATTGATAACTTTCAAAGCAAAATGAAAATAAACAAAGGTTGGTAAATATATACATGAAAAACAGATGGGATGAGTTTAGTTTCTTACAGATATCTTTATATTAACTACATTTATAAAATTACGAATGTCAGTAAATATGTAAATGTATACGTACATTAGAATTATGTATTTTACACCGCAATCTAACAACGTTACTCAGCAGAATGGAACAATTACTTCCGCTTCTGAACAATTTTAATCTAATCTAATTCATTATTTAAATGAAGGCAATCAATAAACAAATTTTAACGAACATAGTTCACATTTCATCCCACCCCTCTTCTGTCTGATAGTTTAATCAGTTATTGATGATTGATAATGAAAGAACGTCCGGTGCAATCACGTGACAGTTGAAGTCAGTTTTTTGTTCTCTTAAATCGTAATGAACAGAGTGAATGGACTGAATTCAAATAGTTGCGTGACAGTAATAATAATGTATACTTTCCGAACAATAAACTGAAAACAGTTCTGAAAGTTGAGAAAAAGTATATTATCGAACTCGTTATAGGTAGCTCAAAGCAAGGCGAAAGCAGCAAAAAACTTCCAAGTTCAAGGTTTCCTTTGAAAATTAAAAGTGAACTTGGAGTCTTCAAATAAATTCCAAAAACAATCGATAATTCAAATTTGCTGTTTTGTTTCTTCACGCGAAAAAAAAAAACCCCATCTAAATCTTTGCAGTTATTAAAAAAAAAAAAAAAATGAAAGTGTGATTGACGTATTAAACGCTAGCTAATTATTTTATGAAAATAATATTATTAAAATCGTTAGAAAGAAGTAAATTGCAAATAAGCACAATTTACTTAAAGTCTCAATGAGATTTATTTTACTTATTCCCAAAAAAGCAGTAGTTTTGAAATTAGAAAAAATTGTGATATAAAGAACGGTGATTTACAAAATGTTTTCCACTTATAAGTTTTGCTCCATTCCTGCTTCCCTAACAGATTTAAATATTGTATTTTACTAACCTATCATCAGGAGATAAAAAAAAATCTGTGTTAAGTTGTGATAGTTATAACGACGTAAACACACCGAAATTTTTTTAACATTTTTAGTAGTATAACGTTCTTCTTTGCAATTACTATAAAGAAAATGAGATGTTTTTTTTTAATTTTAAATACTAAATTAGTAAGGAATTATTCTAAGCTCAAATAAATCAACACTATACAGCTATGTTTGAAAGGGGGGGGGGAAGAAAGAATATAAAGTTATTCGTTTATAAAAAATGAAATTTGAAGGGGAATAAATAAAATTATATCAGTATTTTAAGTAAAAATTTGAGGTGATAAATGATTAATTTTTAAAATGTCATCAACAGAAAAAGAAAACGTATTTAAAGGATCTCGCAAAGAGATAAATAACATTGCTTATTTTCTGAAAACAAATAACTTAACAGAGATTTATATACATTTATTTATTAAAAGCAAAAAAAAAAAAAAAAAAAAAAAAAAAAAAAANAAAAAAAAAAAAAAAAAAAAAAAAAAAAAAAAAAAAAAAAAAAAATCAGGTCAAAAATTTTTTTTATGGTTAAATTTGCAATATTAGAACATAATCTTAATGAATTTAGAAGTCTTATAATTCTATTCGAGAACGGGGGGAAAAACTACGAAACATTCAGAAGTGGATAAAACGATTTTATCAATTTATTCAGGAATACATAAGAGCATGAACTTTTTTCGTTTGTTTATTTACGATATCTCATCGACTACTTGGCGATAATTTTATTTTTGGTTGGATTTTTATGAATCTTATTTTTAGATACAAAACATTTTTTTTGATGTCTGATTCCTAACTCGCAACTCTGGTAAACATAATTTGATATTGATTTCAAATTATAAAGGAAAATAACTATGGAAAAAAGTAATAATACAATAAGCACAGAAAGAATGTTTTCAATTTTGTGGAGACGTCAGAAACGCTTCACTACGTTCATTATTTTTTTTAAAAAATACAATCGCATTATATGTACTTTAAAATTAAGATACAAAATATAGCTTTTAGATTGTAGGAAAACCCACTAAATTATACAATTACTTTTAATATCTAAGGATCTGAAAGTTGTCTACGAGAAGACTTACTGTTGCATTTTCTTTGAGAAAATGACGTGTAAACAGGAAAAGGAAATTTTTTGAAATGGAAAAATAAAACAGGGAATGGTTAATTTTAGTAGGGATTTTTTTAAAAAATAAATAAGTATAATAAAACAGTAATAATAATGAAAACTAATTTAATATAAATTTTTGAATTAAATTTCCAATAAATTTCTTAATTTAAAACTTTAAATTTTAGTTGTGAAATTATTCTATAACCTTTTTTAACATTTTCTATTGTCTATATATTTATTTCTTTTACATGGCATAAAAAACGCGAGTATTATTCTCGGCAACACTACAGTTATCTATTATAATTTATTTCGTAAGATTATCTTAAGCGACAGTTTAAGTAATGTTAAATAATTGGTTATACGTTTAGCATTTGTTTAGATTCATTTTGTAAGGTTGTCTATATTTAAGTAGTGCTAAACAACTAAATATACACTAAGTATTTGTTTAGATTTATTTTGTTAGGTTAGGTTGTCTGGTGTAATAATTTAAGTTATGTCAAATAAATAGTTAGACGTTGAGTATTTAGTTTTATTCATTTTGTTAGGTAGTTTTAAGTGATCGTTTAAGTAGTGTTGAATAGTTAGTCATGCGTAAATCAGTATTTATGTAGAATAATTTTGTATATTTATAGAAATAAAAGCTTAGTTTTGAAATAATTACCTAGATTTATATTTGATCCTTTCTAAATTGGCTGCAGCAATTTTAAACATAAACGGTGCTATGGTACAGTGTACTGGTAACGATTGGGTAATTGCAGCTCGAGAAGGTGACGATCACTGATACACAGGCTCGTGATCTATGACCTCGGCATCAGCTGATCGCTTATAAACAAGATGGCCTTGTTAAAGTCGATCTAAGTTTCTACACGTTGTTAGAACGTTAATTAACGTGTATTTAATTAAATACAAAGCCGTATCACTCGTCGAATTTGTTAAAATATTATTCTTTCTCGTCTGCATCTTTTATCTAACTTACATTTATTATTTATTTATGTATTTTATTATAACCATGATATACTTTTGCTTTTTATGTCTGTCAACCTCCATACATAATTAGTTTGTTTATGTTCTACATGGCTTCGTGCCTTAAGTAAGAAATATATAATGAACGAACTGAAATCTTTGTGAAAGAATGAGTCACTTTGATTGCTTGATCAATTGATACTTGCGAGCTTGACTTACTCGAAATAGAATAGGAAGAACATTTGCTAACGTAAGTAAATTCACCATTTCAAGAACCAATCAGAATCGAGATACTCAAACTATGTCACTCACAGGTATCCCATTATTCGTGACGGAGCTTTCCTTTTACGAGCAATAGCATACGATACTCAAGTTATGGCACGTGAGGAAGTAGTACAGCACGTTATGGAGCATCGGTGTGAATTTTGTAACCTATCACATGACAGAGATGGAAATAAATTTTATATATTCCTGCAGCCTACTTTGCTGAAATGTTCCAAATTCATTCTTACGATAGTTTGTGTGATTAAATGGATGTCAGAGAGATTTTAAAATATCATTCAAGTTCAATACATAGAGAACTTAGACAGTATCGCGAGTATCTCTTGAAATATGATGTCTTATGATGAGCAAAATAATTTATAATTGTAATATCCCCCCCCCCCTTTTCTTTCTTTTCTTTTCTTTAAAATTTCTATTTTAAATTTATTGTATTATCTTTCTTTGTCGCCTAGACAGGATTTTTCTCTTAGCGACGATTATATGTTCTTTGTATTTATGTGTTCGTTTTTGTTCCCAATAAAGTTATATTTGTGTTAAAAAAATTAACAAAAATGAAAAAGAAAGAAAAAAAAGAGTTAAAATTGAAGTCAAAGTACTTTCCAGCAATTCGTAATAAAATTGCTTAAAGATTGTTTAGTTAATAAAAAGCTTAATGAAATAAGGCGCTTTTTTTGTTACAAATTTGCTGCAATTTGTAAGACTATCATTTGTGTAGTACATGCTTATTTATTGTACTTAAAATTTAAAAAAAATTCCCTGAGTGTTCTATGCACACAATTCTAAAGAAAAAAATTGTTTACGAAGTAATTCAGCTTATTAATTAAACGTAAATGTAACTAATGTTGGTTGGCTAGAAATACCAATAAAATATTAAAAGCACGTGTATTAAAATTTGAGTTAAATTATGCATCAATACAAAACCACTCCTACTTGATATCTGGTTGCTTCATGCAATATCATGATGCACCCACACATTAAGTCACTTGCAAACCAAGAGTTTCAAAAAATTCATAACATGACTGTTTATCATTAACACCTAACAATTTTGAAAAACTAAAATTAAAAAAAATTCAAAGTTCTTTCAACTATAGGAAGCACATTATAGTATGCTTTTGAGTTACGTGTCGCGGTGTTTAAAATTATTATTATTTAAAATAATTATTATGTTATACATTATTATGTCGAAAAATAAATATTTAAGCATACATTTTGCTTCCACTAAGAACAATCATCCAGTAAAATTGAAAAAAAAAAAAAAAAAAAAAAGAAANACTAAATTGAAAAAAAAAACGGTACCTATGTCTTTACTTGAAAGAATACCTTAAAACTTGTCTTAAAGTAACAATTGCATTTTGAAAAAAATAAATAAATAAAATAAATATTTGAAAAACACAATTAGCAGATTAATTTTCTTAGAGTAAAATTGTAGCATTAAAATTCCTATACTTATTATTAGGAGCAACTTGGTATACATGTATTATTAAATATTTGCAGCCAATAGTACAGTAAAAGCTCGATATAACGAGTGCAGCATTATACACGAAAATTGTATGTTTATAACGAACTAAAAATTCCCAAACTTCTGCTATTGCGACATTTTTTTAAAATTTTTTTTGTGGGGAATAAATTTGATGGAATGTGAGGAATGCTGTACAACAATGATGTAAAAAAGGAAGACTTCTTTACTGATTTCTGGTATCAGTAGAGATAAGTGAAAAAAGTAGTTCACTTTATTTTCTGCCTGCAATATTAATCTCTTATATTTATAAATTGAACATGTGTGCATGTACGTCATAGGCGGTGCGGTGGGTGTATGTTTCTTTCAATAATTTGAAACACATGAAAACTCTCAATATTTCAGACAAATAAATAAAAAATTTCGCAACTTATCATCTATTTAAATTCTTTAAAGTTCAAAATAAAAGAAAGAGTTTAAAATTATAATTTTTTCTTCAGGTTTTTAGTACATTTAA